CGTGGAACCAGGGATTGAACTCAAGTCCTTGTGCTTGCCAGGGAAGCACTTATTACACTGAGCCATCTCCCCAGTCTAGATGTATAAATAAAAGGGCGCCATTCACGGACTAAGAGTTACGATGAATTCAGCTTTGTGTTCTAGAAGGAGTATAAAAGTGAAAAGAAGTCTCACGTGCCAGACCCCTATAGGGCAGAGGACAGATGAACTCCTGGACCTGGTGGCCTGTTGCTCATTAAAAGCCCAATCTGTATTTTCTTCAGCAGCTCTTGACTTTCATTTGTATCTGCCTCCTTTGTGACCCTGAAACTTTGGATCAGAACCTTGCTCGGCTCTGCATGTAGCCGCGTTAATCATTTAAGGAATATCTGTCGAAACACCAGCAGCACAATGTGATTCACCTTCAATCTGCATAACCAGGCGCACCCTGTCAAGACTGAAGACTGAGGCCACTAAGATAACAGATTGATAGGCTCATCCAGCTGCCAGTGAGCACCTAGAAGTTTCCAGTCATTGCCTTGAACCTTGGATTCCAGCAACGCCTCTGCAAAGCTGAGCCTGCCTGAAGCAGACCCGATCATCTCAAGACTGAATCAGAGCTGTACGGGCTTCCCTGGAGCCACTTTGCAAAACCAGAAACTGAGAAAATGGCCCCAAAGACAGGTCTTGTTCCTTTGTTAAGGGGCCGGTCTGGTCCGCTCCATCCGAAATGCTGTCTCAGCTCCTGGAGCTGAAGTCTCTCCCTGTTTTCTTACGGGGACTCTAATAATTAATCAGCCTATGCCTCTCCCTGATGCATCCTGAAATGCCTTCCTGCGTCAAGGCAAGGATCTGCCCATGCTGAGTTGAGCTTCCCACCTCCTCCTCAGGGGCAGTTCCTCAGACCTCACCTGGTGATTTACATCTTTGATCCACAAGGACCCTGGGGTTGAAAGAGGGTGAGTGCCCTGGCCCAAGTAACACAGCTTACAAAGTGGGCTGGGATTTGAATCCAGGTCTATCTGGACCTCCTCCCCTTTCCTCTATTTGGTGTTGATGATAAATGCCTATGCCTCAAGAGTAAAACTAGGTGGACAGGGTCCAGAGCACAGTGTGTCTCACATTCTTATTCTATTTAAATAAGCTCGGTATGCTAACCGTGTGCACCAAAGTGGCCATATCCACCCTTCTCTGAGAAAGCAGCTTTAGGGGCCATCCTCCTGCTGATCTGCAGGGGTAAGTGGCTCACCGCTTGGTCTGCACCCCAGGTTTGTGGGGCACACCCTTTCTCTTCATGAGCTTCTCCATGGTATTGGGGTGGATTATTGGACGGACAGGGTGTCGTTTGCAGGTCCCTGGATACTTCTTTTCCACTGCTTGTTCTCGCCTGTGGGATGAAAGAAAAAGCCACATCTCAGCTGCGGCTGTTGTAGAAGATGAGAAGAACACTTTTGTGGGCTAATTGGACCCACAGGTTCTGGGCACACTGCAGATATAAGCTATCTGAATAATTAGGCTGCTGCTATTCAGGTTAAAAAATAAAGAGGATCCTCGATTCTGATGGGCCTGACCTCCTCCTGATCCTCAGCTCGTGGCTCAGGAGCTTCCGTTCTCTTCCCCTACACAATCCAATGCAGAAATCCTGCTTATTGTCCATAGCTGCTGTGCTGCCTAGGTCCCGGGGTTTCTCACCACCTCAACCATCTTCAGCAGCCGCTGTACCACCCCCGAGCCATCAGCTCCGCTTACGCACACTGAGTCCTTCCTGAAATGAAGCCCTTCTCTGCACAGGGCAGCAGGGTGAACGGCGGTGCAGTGTGTGTTCCCTTTAACGTGATCTGCTGCGGCTCGGCCCATCTGTGTGCCTCCCTCCCTGGGACAGGGACTTGGGCACAGCGTGTCCCTCTGGAATTCTGTGCGACTGACTAAGACATCTGCCAGTTCTGAGTAGCTGCAATGTGGAAGAGAGGGGCATTTCTGCCAACCCACAGGCGCAAAATCAACAAGGACCTTCGTCAGCTCGGATACGCACTTGATGAGCTCCTTCTCGCGCATTTCCAGCTGCAGCATGACGGCGCTGAGCTCCATGTACAAATTGTTCGCCCGCTCCAGCTTCCTCTCATAGTGCTCTCGAATGTCCAGAGCGTGCCTGTCGGTGAGAACACAGGGTCAGCGGGGTCCGCCAACCTGGGGAGGACGGGGCAGGCTCCAACCAACGGCACCTGCCCAAGGGCCCTCTGTTTTTATTTTAAGGCTTTCTTTTCTGATACCATGACTCGGACAAGAAGAGAAAGATGGGAAATACAAACTTTCCATTTGGTTTATCCATAAAGACCCCCTGGTGGTTCAGAGGGCCACAGATAAGATTGGAGCATAATCTGTAGCTTTTGTCTGTGTAGCATTGGTACTATCTTAAGAAGAACGCAGCATCCCTATACACATCCTGTTAATGGAAAGAGGACAACACCGTTACCACTTGTTTGTACTTATTTGTAGCACAGAGCTCGTGGGCTCAAGGTCTGTAGCTCCCCCAAATGGTAGCAGGAGGTGCACTGATGTTGCTGGTGCTCGGCTCTTGGGTTTCCCAGCCTCAGGAATTGTGAACAGGGCTGGGGAGATAGCTCAGTGGTCTAAGTACCTGCCTGGCAAGCACAAGGACCTGGGTTTGATCCCCAGTACCATATGCTGTGCCACTATGCTGGCCACTGAAACCGGGCATGGTGGCACACGCCTGTAATCCCAGCACTGGGGAGGCCGAGACAGGAGGATCACTGAGTTCAAGCTGTGTAGCAAGACCCTATACCAAATTAAAAAATAAATAAAAAGATAAAAAAAAAAACAGAATTGTGGGCAATGTATTCCTTTTGTTCATAAATTACCTCTAAGGTAGTTTGTCTTAGCGGTCAACATAGTGGTTGCTTGTTAATAGGTCTTGTGTCCCTTAATGGATTATAAAGATTTTGAGGCCAGGGACCAAATCTTATCCATCTCTGGCCTTCCCCAGCACCAGCCCAGTGATTGAAGGAACAAAGGGCGCTGCCCAGAGATCTCTGTTGCAGCACATCACAAAGGAGAATAAGAGTCATAAGGGCAGGACAGCGGGGTTAGAAGGAGAGGATAACAGAGATAAGAAAGAGTGCTAACTTTTTCTTGTTGTTTAAACTTTAAAATGTTTAACTAATCCAAAAAGTTGTGCATGTCTATGGAGTAGCACTTAACTCCATGGTGTGAGGACAGAGATTCACCAGAACATCCCTGCCAGTATCTGGAGACCGGGAGTGAGGAGAAAGAGCACGAGAGACCAGCCCACCTGAGCTCTTCTCGGCGCCTTCGGATCAGTTCTTCATCTAATCGGTGTATGCAAGTTCCTTCACTTTTGATTTTCTCAAAATGTTTCTTTACTTCTTCTCTCCATTCAGCCTGAATAAGGAAAATGTGCTTTCATTAATATGCCAGCAGTTTCCATCCCTGGTACTGCCACAGGATCACGTACAAGATCTTCTTCTCTGTATACGTCTATACACTTCTCTGCTTCCTGCAGGAGCCTTAGTCAGAACAGGTGTTCAAGATGACTGAGTCAGGTGAGAACAAAAACATATTGTGCTACTGTGTCTGCAGCCCTCCCATGGTTGGTATTTCTGCTCCAACATTTGATGTCTCTTTCCTGGTGCCCATGTACCACCGGTCACCAGCAACATCACGCCTGCATCCCACCATCACTTCTGGAACAGAAGAGCTCAATTCAAGATGGTGACATGAGTCTGTGAGAATATTACCTTCTTCACATTTGGCACCAGAACCCCTTCTAGAATTTGTTAAGGTTCACAAGCTTAATTCTTTACACAAATCATATAGTAGTATGATTTGTGTAAAGAATTAAGTTTGTGAACCCAGGTACCACTGTACCTGGAGAAAATATTTGGAGGATAAGATCCCTGGGGCCCACATAGTAGCACATGGGAAGAAATATACAGGAAACTATTCAGAAATTTGGAGTTGAGGGAAAGAACAGAAAAGAGAGAAGAGAACAAGGAGAGAATATAGCTCAACAATTTAGTACTCTTGACAAAAATTTTAGGACAAAGTGTCAATATCCGATATGTGATTCAAGTTGTTCAGAATTTAAACCACTTCCATTTCCTATACCATCAATAAAGTCTCTGCCAATCATTTTGGTTGAGTGTTTTTTTTTTAATCAAAAAAAGGTGCTGAATTTCAGTTGGATAAATGATAGGACAAAGATAGAGGAACACCCACAAGAGAGCAGAGGTGGGGGTCAAGAGCCTCGGAGAGGCAGAGCCAGAGTGTCTATCAAATTATAAATTATAAATTTGTCAGGAATTCATAGAAATGTGACAGAAGACATTAGGCTTTCCATAGAACATGAAACTTTGAGCCCATTTAATCTAAATTTTAGGGAGCAGGAAGACCTCTGCTGGATTGTATGTTGAGAGGCAGTTTCTAGAAAAGAGCCAATACTTACGCCCCATGTAGGTTACCACCTCAAGAAGCCAGTAAGACAGCATCTAGCTGAGGGTAAATGTGCAGCTAAGTGTCTTAAATTGTGTAGCAGTCTCACAGAACTATTCTAGTACTTTCAGATGCGTGTTAGAGTACCTCTATGTCACAATAGTTCCATTTCTAGTTTGCTAAGAAGTTCCCATTCTATTTTCCATATCAGCTGTACCACTTCGCATTCCCATCAACGGCGTACAAGGGCTCCCATTTCTCCACAACCTCATCAACATTTATTGTCTTTTGTTTTCTTAATAATAGCATTGTTTCTTGGTAATTTTGCTTCTGGGATTTATCCAGAAAAAGAAATGAAATCAAGATCCTGAGGATATATTAACACTCCTATGTTCACTGTGCTACTTGTAATAACTAAGATGTAGAAACAATGGAATTGGCCATCTATGGATGAAGAGTAGGAGGTATACACATAAAATGGATTATTACTGTTCAAGCTGGAGAAAGAAGGGAATTCTGCAATGGCTGTCAAGGATGAACCTTGAAGACCTCAAGTAGACTGAAGTAAGCCAGTTACCAGAGGACAAATATTGTAGTCTCACTTGTATGAGGTATCCAGAATAGTCAAACTCTTAAAAGTACAGTTGAGTGGTGGTCACTAGAGGGAGAGGGGACAGAGAATTGCTAACCAATGGATACAAACTTCCAGTTATCCAAGATGGAGTTCTAGAGATAGGCTAGATATCATCAGGCCTACAGTTAATGATCTTGTACTGTACACCTACACCATGGTAAGAGGGTAGATCTCAGAATACATTCTTGCCATATATAAAAATAAATCTCTGAATCATAGAAAAAGTTATATTTAAGTGATCGTACATGTATAGCAGGTTTTCCCCAAATTGGTGGTCCCCCCCCCTTTTTTTTGGCCGGTACCAGCGACTCAATCTAGAGCCTCCTGCACTTAAAGCAACTGTTTTACCACTGAGTTCTACTCCCAGCTCTCTTTTTATTCTTTCTGCAGGTGGTGGTGGTATTGGGGGTTTGCCCAAGGCCTTCACCCTAAGCTATGCCCCAGGCCCTTTTTTATTTTTTACATTTTGAGACAGGGTGTCACTAAGTTGCTACGATGCCCCAGCTGGGCTCAGACTTGGGATCTTCTTCCCTCATTCTCCCAGAAGACTGGATCCCAGGTGTGTGCGCCATGCCTGCTCCTCATCGACATTTATAGGGGAAATTATAGTTCTTTAGAAATGACTGCCCTGCTTATCTATTTATAAAATACGCGACTTTCCTGTATATGTTGTTCATTAGACGGAGGGGTCTGCCAGTTGTTTGGCTTTTAGGCACTAAACCTTGCCACCATCACCAGGAGGAAGCCAAGATCAAGAATGCGCTTCCCATGGTTGGGTAAACCTCCGACAGCACCAGAGCAGCAGACACGCGCTTGCTTAAGCCCCACGCGATTCTGTTGTCTCAATCACAATAAGATCAAAGTGATGGCGCAGGGAGAGTATTTGAGCTTTAGGAGCCAAAGAATGATAAGTAGAGCTGTTAAGGGACAGGGTCAGATTTGGGCTTTGAAGCATTCTTTTATGTGAAAACATGCCAGACTCTTGGACAATGCTTATATGCACTAGGGAAATGAACACGGCCCTGGGGGAGTAAGGAATCAGATACCTCAGGTCAGACTTCTACAGGACGTAATCCTGCTGAAGTTGAGCCTACGGGGCTTGACTGTGGGGAATAGACAGCCTTCTGAACCCTCCAGGAAAGCAGATTTTCAGAGAAGAGTTCCCTGGTGTGAAGAGGGAACAGGATGTATAGGAAAATAGCAAGACCTAGTGATGTGTTTTCCTCAAAAGTCTCGTGTTTCCAGCAGAGGCTCACTTGGCATTTCGCCAGCGATACTTAGCTTACCTATGGAGGAGTTCCAAGCTGAGCAAACTGCACTTCGACCATGGGGGGCTTGTGTGAAGCAGTGGGGGGGGGAAGGGGGGGAAGCGGGGGGAAGGGGGGAGCAGGCCCGAAGCCAAGGTGCAGAGCTGCGGCGTGGAGGAGAGCGCGCGCCTCATCAGGAAGAGCCTGCCTGAGCGCCACAAAGCCACCCCTGCTGCAGTGGAGGGACGACCCCTGCGGTTTCACAGGAACACCCGGGAAACACTGAGCTGGGGCCGCCTCGCACCAAGTGGGACTCAGTAGGGCAAGGAAGAGTCCATCATGCAATAGAGCTGTGTGCAGTGTGGGATCGCGAGGACTCTAGAGCTTCTGCTACAGCAGGGAGGGCCGCTCCCATGGCGAAAGCAGCACTTCAGGAATATGGCAGCATCCAGTGGACGGGACGCCAGCTGGGCAAACAAATTTTGGCAGAAAACAGCGAGGGCTGACCAATACTGCAATACACAGTAGATGCCAGGGGGAGGTGGCTGTGCTTAGCCACACTTGTGGGATGCAAAGCAGATGCTACCAGGAGGCTGTTGTGCCCAGTGCCCCCAGCGCACACGCATGCGTGTGTGTATGTGTGTGTGTGCATGTGCTGGTGAGGAGGGAGTGAGGGAGTGCTTAAAGGAACCTGAGTCCCACGTGGGCAAGTAAGGGAAAACGAAGTAAGACTTGGGTGGCTACTACTATTGATAACTTCTTCATGTTCCAGAGGAGACCTGGCCTGGTCCCCGTTACTCAGTTAGTAGGCTGAATCTTTTGCGCAAAACTCCATTTCTTTTATCTCCCATCATATTGATTTCAAAATAGAGATGAGTTAACAGAGAAAATATGGTATATGTGATAGAATATTATACAGCCATAAAATAAATAATAGGACATATGCTACAAAAATAGATGAAACCTGAAAACAAGCCAACTGAAATAAGGGAGACATAAAAGTATATATATATATATATATATATATATATATTTTTTTTTTTTTTTTTTATGGTCAGCTCAGCCCACCCTGTGGGCGGGGCTGGCATGGCATGTGGTGCTGGGGATCGAACCGAGGTCCCTGCATGCTTGCCTAAGCAGGCGCTTTAGACCACTGAGCTATCTCACCAGCCCCTATAAAAGAATAAATATTGTGTGATTCCACATCAATGATACATCTCCAACAGGGAAATTCATAGATAATCTCACTTGAGATTATCAGCAACTAGAGGAGGGAATACAGAGTTACTGTTCACTGGGGTGATGAAAATTTTTGGAAGTAATAGTAAGAGTTTCACAACATTGTGAATGCAACATTCACTTACACACTTCACCTGGCTAAAACAGCAATTTTAGACTCTATTTCTTTTACCATAACTTTAAAACATCAACTAACAAAGTCAAGCCAGTCCCAGACTAGTTTAAGAAACACTAAAGCAAAGTGCTTGGGGCTTAATCTTGGAAATCAGGGGCCGGGAGTCAATAAACCCTAGAGAGCATCCAGCCCAGCTGTGCTGGAGCCCGGGCCCTCCTTACCGCCCGCCCTCTCTGAGGGCCTTGGCTCTGTAGTCCCTCACTTGCAAAACTGCTCAAAAGCAGCTTGGGCTGCTGAAGTGAGTCTCTGCAGTCCCTGGTCCCTGAGTTTCTGGGTAATCACAGTGCTCCCCAAGAGGAAGCCAAGATGGTACTGATGGGGCAAAAGAGACTCCATTTCTTTTTAACTCCAGGGTTCCTTTTTAACTTTAAGGGTCATTTAAACTCACTTAAACTTAGTTTATTTATTTTTTAATGTATTTGGTAAAGGTCTCACTATGCAGCTCAGACTCATAGCGATCCTCCTGTCTCAGCCTCCCCCGACACTGGGATTACAGGCATGTGCCACCACACCTGGACTCAGTGACCAGCTCAGTGCACCTGGAGGCAGGGCTGGTATGGCATGTGGTGCTGGGGATCCAGCCAGTCCCGGTTCTTTAGATAAACTCACTCCCTTACCCCCTTCCATGTAACTAACTGAAGCCCACTTAAGAGAA